GAGAATCGAATGAGCTGCCGACCAATGTGTTTCGACAAGCCAATGAGTTGAAGACCAATGTGTTTCGGTAAAGCTTAAAAGTTGCCGACAGAGTTTAAGCGCCCATTTTCTCTCTCTAGAAGTTGGGTCTACGTTCTTCTTCATGAGAGCAACTTTTGGACAATACAAGAATTGCTTGGTTAACTAGAGGGTTCATGTCGACTAGAAGAGTTGAGTCCCACCAACTATAAGAGCCAAGAACTAACTAACGTTCGCCAATAATTGCAAAGCAGATCAAATTTCCAGAAATTGAATTTTTTGAAGTTTTTGAAATCCAATTTTAAATATACCCGTGTGCAATACTCATTGAGACAAGTCCAACGCAAAAAATCGCGTCGCAATTGAAGCTAAAACGAAGCCATACGGGGCGGTGAAAGTTTGCCTAGAAAGTCAACCGTTTCGCCGGAGAAGACGAACTAGACACATGAAGAAATCATTCTGTGCTTTGTAGTTGAGTTGTAATCGATTGATTTGAAACATCCAATCTATTTTTGGTTAAATCTAAGCCATCCGAAATCCAATCACAATAATCTAATAGTCATTTCCAGCTATTTGGCGCATTCTGGCACATCCGTGTAGTCAAAATTTGCAAATTCAATAAAGAAAAATTACAAACTTTATTTGAAACCCGCAATCAAAAATTGAGTATAAAACAAGCAAAATTGATGTCATTTCGAATATCATAAAGCATCCGACTTTGTCTTGGCTTCAATTCGATATCACCACGGTGAAGAACTGGGGCAAGGAATCCGCTTCAACATTTGTTATTGGCTTACTCCTCAGCAATTTCGGCCAAAGTCAATTCTACATTCCTTCTAAATAACAAATATCATTTGAAAGCAATGGGGCAAATATACGTTGTACACAATGCATGACTAGCTTACTCCGACTTAGCACACCACCATTCATACTAACTCAAGGGCAAGAAATCACCTTAACAATCTACTTTCAAAATCCACCCGGCAATTCTTTACAACAGCGCAATGTTATTTGATATAAGTTTTTTAGCTTTCCACTTATTTGTGATTAATAAATCTACATCATTTGGTACAGGCAATCAATAACACATGATGTACTATTCACAATCCTTGTAATGTTTGAAATTAATTGCCACTTAAAATCAGCAAAAGCCTTTGAATACAGAGCAATCTTCATGCTCGACATTGAGTGCCATCAGCAAAAGCCTCCAAATACGAAGCAATCTCCATATTCAGCACGGAGCTCCATTAACAAAAGCTTCCAAATATGGTGCAATCTATGTACTCGGCACGAAGCGCCATTAGCAAAAGCCTTTGAATTTGGAGCAAAGCCCTAATTTCTTAGACATACATACATTTATATATACATTTATACGTACATGCATTCATACAGCCATTTATTTTATTCATTTATCAAAGGTGTTTCTTATTAAGAGATCTAATATCTATTTGGACAATGTAGAGGCAAGTTGATTTGGGAGTAAAACCAATATCAACTAGGTATTCTCTATCAAGAATGCTATTTTCATCAAAGATCTACCATCCACTTGTGCTACTAACTTGGCAATAAAAACTCTTATTCATTCTACCGATGAAAATGAAAGTTTTGAGGCAATTGTGGTAGCCCAAAAAATACCAAAACATCCCAACTTATAGTATGAATCCAAATAAGTCCTAACAATGGGCCGAACCCAAGCAAGGAAGCCCATCAAGCCACCTCTATAAAAGGAAAGCATCATAGAAAAGAGGTATGCTTCACTCTGCAACAGATACACACAAGACGCTTTACAAGTTCTTCATCTAGTCTCTTTGTTTGAAAGATTCTAACTTTATCATCGGAGTGTCTTCGGCTGGCAACCTTGGTTGGGTGGTATTAACCATGTTTATCCTTGAAGATCTACAAGGTAAAACTCATTTCTTCGTTGGGTCTCTGCAACAATCCATGTAAGAGAATTTTCTTGGTCTCACAGTACCGATAGAAGATAAGTTGAGAGATAATAGATTGAGATGGTTTGATCATATACAATGGAGACCAACAGATGCAGTAGTGAAGAGATGCAATACAGTGACAGTAGATGGAAGTGTTAAGGGAAGGGATATACCTAAATTGACGTGGGCTAATGTAGTAAATAGAGGTATGAATTTCATTAATTTGACTAACCAAATGGTCGTTAATAGAGTCGAGTGGAGAAAAAGAATTCATGTAGACGACTCCATTTGATAGGATTTAAACCTTAATTTTGGTTTGGTTTGATTAGGTTAGCTGTAAAGTGTTGTTTGAAAAATAATTTTTATTTATAGCACAATTTTTATTTTTATAATCATTTCATTTAATAATTGTGAATATTTTTTATTCAGTTAGTTCAGGTATTGGTCAAAAATAATTTGTAGACATTTGAAATCAATTATTGTTAATGTCATTAACTATTAAAATAAAATGTAAAAAACTCCTTTTATAGTAATTTAAAAATATAAAATATATTGAATCATATTTAAATCCTAAATAAAATTGATTTTGATCAATTTTAATAAATGTGATTCTGAAGAAAAAAAAATATACTTATCGATAAATTTTTTTCAAATTGTACGAAACATAAAATAAAATTACGATTCCGGTTACCACAACTTTACCCTATAACTTTTACATCTCACAATTACAATCGTATCACCATAACTGTTACGACAACCGCAACCGTTTTTTAAAATCATAATCTTGGCTCAACTGTCAAGCACTAAAGGGCTCATATTGTTAAAACATCATCACTATAATGTAGACAAGGGCTTATATTGTTAGTACATCATCACTATAATGTAGACATGTCACTAGCCCTAGAAATTGGGGAATTTCTACCCTTTCTGTTTATATATTATTTATTTTTATTTATTTATTTATTTGTTTTTGGAGAAGGAACAATGCTTTCTACGCCAACAACACTTTTTTTTTTTTAAAGAAAAGGAAAAAGAAAAGAAAAGAAAAGGAGATTTTCTTAAATTTTGTAATAAAAAAATCTCTATATACAGGACATTTTGCATGAACATGGAAAATTTTGCTAGAAAAATTTGCATGGCCAAGTGGGATTCACATTCTTCATTCCAACGAAAGTGGACTCCAATAGAGATATGAACATCCTCATTTCCGAAACCCTTTTCTTGAAAACCGAAAACACAAAGAAAGACAAGATTAAACAACTAATAAATCACATAAACATACAAAGAGTGAAGCACTAATTTGAAAATCTGAATTTATGTAGAGTAATTCACATTACACTTGTATCTCTCACTCCCACTGTATGAGATTTACGCCGTGTTTGGTTGAGGGATTTAAGGAGAGTATTGGAAAGGAAAAAAAAAAAATAGGTAAAATGTAAATAAAATATAAATATATTTCACCTAATTTCACACACTTTTTTTCTTTCCTTTTCCAAATTCCTTTCTAAATCTTCCAACCAAACACAACATAAAAGAAACAAAAATACCATAATAAAGGTTGGTTTGGGAAGCGGGTTAACTTTTTGACTTTTTTGATTTTTTTGTAAGAGAAAAGTGTAATGATTATGGGTTGAATGTGATGTTTTATTTTTTGTGACTAAAATAGCCTATTTTGTCTTTTGTAAGTAAAATAACAAAAAAAGTCCAAAACTTAAGTTGCCAAACAGAGGCTAACAAGTTTAGGCCAAGTTTGGCTACAAAGAAAAAAGTACACTTATTTTATCTTTTTATCTTTTTTGAGTCACATCAATCAACATCTCCTCTCTACTTTTTCTACACATAGTACAAAAAAAGTTAAAAAGTGTACTTATTTAGTCTTTCCAAACTAAGCATTAAAGTGATCCTCGATATTTTTTTGTTGAAAATTTTAGCATTTTTTGGTTAAGTGATGGGATGAAGGATGAGCTGAGAAAGTTGAGAAAAGCTTTTAAAAAAAAAAAAAAAAGCAACGGAGCAAGAGCCTGCAAAAGCATCAACTTGAAAGTGACCCATAACAGTTCACACTAGTACACACTCCACTCTCTCTCTCTCTCTCTCTCTCTCTCACACACACACACACACACACACACACACACACACACACACACACAGAGGACACAGCCAAAAGAGAGGGGGTGCCAACTTTTGTTAGTCAAATCACTTTTGCTTTATGTGTCACTCACTGTCTCACACTTTAGAGAAGACTACCCTGATGATGATCCCACACCCCCTCCCCTCATAATAAAGCCAGTGTGCAAGGTACACTCTCCCCCAAAAAACAACTTTTGTTCTCTTCTACCATATTTGGAAGATTTATAACCCAAAAAAAAATAATAAATAAATAAAGAGTTGGGTTTGGTTAAATTTTTTAACAACAATGATTCATCCCTTTTCTCTCCACCCCTTTGACCCCTCTCTCATTGGTTACTTTTTCTTTTTTTTTTTTTTCCTGCTCCTCCAATCACCACCTGCCACGTGGCAAAGGGAGGTGACCCCCAAAAGGGAGTCCCAAACATTATTCATTTTTTAATCAATTTTTGCAACAATAATGATAGAGACCACTAATTTTAAAACTCTAAAAAAACCACTAATGACATGACACTCAATAAAAAAAAAAATACAACACCAAAATCAAAACATCAAATCATTTATGGTGGGAACCACTACCACATCATTAGTGATAACCCTAATTAGTGCTCACTCATTTTCCTTTTTGCAATGAAAAATTCAAAAATTATGTTTGATTTATAATTCTTGAAAATTGTTCTCTTCTATCTTTTTTTACATATAAAATTATCATTTTTTTTTTCGCCTCTCATATTTTACACATCAATCAATTAATTTTTTTTTACACTCATCTATTCAACTACTAAAAAAATAAAATACAAATCATTCCAAGATTATTCTCAAAATATAAAACCAAACAAGTTATGAAATTTTACAAACTCTTTTCAAAAAAACTATATTTCAAAATTGATTCTCAAAACTAAACCAAAGGAAATATTTACACAACAATTCCACGCAAACCCAATTAATCAATATAAATAACAAAGACATACAGATTTCTAAACCTATTCAATCAAGAACAGTTGTTTTGGCTTAGGAAAAAGATTTACAAACCCAGCAGCTAAAAGGAAGAGATGAGAGTGAGAGAGAGAGAGAGATACCTGAGGTTTTTTTTTCACTAAACCCAAGTTTTTCAAAATTTCTTTCCCTGATGTTACTTTGAACTTACTTTCCAAACACATGTTTTGTTTTCTAAAGTCTGTTTTCAAAACATGACTTCAGGCTTAAAAGACATGTTTTCAAAATACAACTTAGGATAAAGTTGGGTCATTAGGTTGGGATTCTAGATAAAGTATTTCATTCAAAACCAAACGAACTTCTTACACAGAATTCAATTAATATTGACAGGGAACATTGAGTTGCATATGGAATGTCGGATGGTAAAGAAGTGAATGGAACAAAGTTTTCCAGATGATGGGACCAGATTTTTTTAATAAAAATTTATACTTCATGCCTCACAAAGCAATGAGTTTAGGAAATAAGTTCAAAACTACTTGGTTTTGGAAAAAATGTTTGAAAAATGGCATGGGTTTGGTAAAGCCTTAGTTACTTTTTGTTTTTTACCCTAAAAAACGAAGTCAACTCCACCTTTAAATAAAGAATTTGAAAGAATCTACTTTCTTCTGTCTTTTGCTACCTTCCTTTATCTTGGACCAGAGAGTTCCATGGCATGGGAATCGTAGTCATCATCCATCACCATGCCAAACATGTCATGATCATTGTCTTCATGCCTTGGGACTCTGGTAGGGTGGGACTGAATTTTGTTGTTCTTGTTGGCAAAGATGAAATTTGTGTTGGGATTAACATGGTTATGAGAAGCAGCCCATTTTTCAGCAAGGCCTTCGCCCTCAAGCATTCTCACCACTTCAGACATCTTGGGGCGGTGGGCCGGCAAGTATTGAGTGCAAAGTAGAGCCACTTGTAGCATCTCTCCGACCTCTATCCGGTCATAATTGCTCCCCAACTCTCTATCCACCAGCAATTCAATTTTCTTTTCTTGCTGCACCTTCCTCACCTGAAATAAACACAAGTATGCTTTGTTTGTCAATGGTAAATCCAAAGCAACTCTCAAGAGGCTAAGTGCACACATGTATTGAAGTAATATCTTCAAGTATTGGCATAAAAGCGATTAAGTCACTGCAGCATTTCGGAGTCTACTAATGTTAAAACTGTACCAATCTAAATTTGATACTTGTGATAATTACCTTGTATTTTGATGTCATACTTGCAGAATTTGAATATTTATTCTTATATTTAGTATTGCTTTATGACCAACTTAAATGTATTCCAAAACAATAAGGTTTTCTACTAGTGTCACTCGAGAGGTAATACCTTTGCAATCCTTTCAAAACATGTTAATCGTCTTTAACTGGTGATGAAACCTTAAAAGAAATTATATTTTGGAATCACACACAACTTATATTTTGAGGCGTTATCGAGTTTACAAAATTCTTCTCTTTTCTCACAAATTGTTGGGAATCAAAGGGGAATTCCTGAATGTTGCCTTATATATGTGACAAGAACTCTGTATTTATATTTGAATTCACCCAGGAAAAACATCATCTAAATGATATAATTTCATTCATTTTCTTATTCCTCAATCACCAAGTTTTGGATGCAAAGTGATTAGAGTTATTAGAAATTTCTAGCATTTCACTAAAATGATAATGGGTTTTGGTGAAAACATTCTGAATTTTATCTGCAAACAAAAGCATGGAAAACATATGAATGGCCAAATATTTACCCAAAAATTTAATTAAAAAATAAAAGAGCCCAAAAAATGAAAATAGAAGGGAGATCAACAAAAGTATAATGGATGGTTGAAAATCGGCTAACCAAATTAAATTGTCACCAAGAAAGTCTATAAGGACTTCCATAGAATGGGAAGGTCTTATGCAAATGCTAGGTGTCTTTTTTAATTCAAGTTACCAGATTGCTAATACAATTATAGAAAAACTTTGGCGTAGTATATACTGTCGTAAGAAACTTACCCATTCCAGCATTGCTCCTTTCTGATTAACTGTCTTGCCAAATTCAAGAGCTCTCATCCCGGTGATGAGTTCTATCAAGAGAATTCCAAATCCAAAAACATCAGTCTTCTCAGACGATTGGCCAGTTGAGAGATACTCCGGTGCAATGTGCCCAACAGTCCCACGTACAGCTGTGGTGACATGGGAGTCAGCGTGGTCAAGTAGCTTCACAAGGCCAAAGTCACCAACAACAGCTTCACAGTAGTCATCCAACAGAATGTTAGCTGCCTTCACATCTCTGTGAATTATCTTCGGATCACATTGCTCGTGTAGGTAGAGAAGACCCCTTGCAGCTCCAATTGCAATTCTCTTCCTAGTGTTCCAGTCTAGTGCTGGTTTTTCTGTCATAATCAACACGACACATTGGATTTTGGTATGTGTTTTTGGATTAAGCATAATTGTTGATAAGAAAGTTGTGTCCCATTATTCCTCTCTTTTGTTGTCATGAACCATAAAACTTTTCATGGGAAAGGGATGTATCAACATTTGCTTGTAATATGAAGAGAATCAATACAATTTTTAATTGATGCCAACATACATTCATGTAATGCAAACAATTGGCGAGTTTGAGTTATCTAACAAACCTATGCCATTTTTAAACAAATTTCACAAATATGAGTTGTTTTGAACTTGATTCTCAAACCCACATTGTTTTTAAAACACAACTGCAAAGAACAACCTGGATTTGGGAAATAAGTTCAAAACAATTCGCATTTGGGAAATCTGTTTCAAAACAACATCGATTTGGTAAAAAACTCAGAAAAGTTTCTTAGTGCACAACTAGATGCCGAAGGGAGTTGACAATCCCATTTGTCTCTAGGCCCCCTAATATATGGTGGACCATAGCAAGCTCAAAAATAATTACATACAATGATTTATAGTTCATGCCCTAATCTGATAAGAACTTTAGAGGAATCAAGACCATTGTGATTGCGAGAACTGGCAAGTTGGCAACAATAGTGACTATAAAAGTGACAATAGCTGCAGGGGCGTAAGATAAAAGATTAGAGACCAACCTCTAAGCCTTGAGGCCACACTGCCATTAGACATGTAAGGATACACCAGCAACCTCTCGTTTGGTGTGGCACAATATCCCATCAACCGCAGCAAATTCCGATGGACCGCAAGGCTAATCATCTCCAGTTCAGTCCTAAATTGTGATTCACCGGCAGTTCCAACAACGTCCTTTAGTCGTTTCACCGCCACCATTGTTCCATCCCCCAACTTTCCCTTGTACACATTCCCAAAACCCCCAGCACCAAGTATGTTCTTGGAGCTAAAATTGTCTGTGACAACTTGGAGTTCTCTAAATGTGAAGTTTCTCAGATTGCCAAGGCTCATCAGACCCTCTTCTTGCATGTCTACAACAACAAAATTAAAGACCTGTTAAAGGTTTTTCTCAAGAATTGATTTGATATATATGTATCATTGAGGTTGAATTCTGAATTACTGACCACTGATGTTGAGAATGCTTTGCTTTTTCTTTTTATTTTTCCTCCAAAAGAAGAGAGCAACCGCTATGAGGATGAGAAAGGTAAAGCTCAAGCTCACCCCAAGTGCAATACCCAGTTTCTTGGAGCTATTTGTTCCTATAAAATTGTAGAGGAAAAGTTTAATATGGGTAAATTGATTGCCAGGGACACATGAATAATAAATAGAAGTTACTCCTCTCTAAGAGTATCCCCATTGGATCTCCTAAATACATCCCTTACCTATTTTAGATAATTTTTCTTCAAAAATCAACCCCATCGACTCCTCTAAAACAACTCCCTATTATAAGAAATGCTACAGTTGCTCCCCAAATGTAGGGAGCAACTGTTCACCCCCAAAAATGTAAAATTATTTTTTATTCAATTATTATTGGTTCTTGAGCATCTCTATTCCCAAAAATATAACATATAAAATAATTAAAAATAATATTCTATTAGAATAGAGAAAGAATAGAAAATTTGTTGGGAAAAGTAGATGAAAAAGTGATTCTATTTTAGAGAATGAATTTTTTAATAATATTTTAGGGTTAAATTTAGGCCAAGTTTGGCAAGGTGTTAAAATGCCAAAAAGTCAAGAAGTTATTCAAAAAGTTAAAAAGTTATCACTATTCACCAAAAGTCAAAAATTACGACTGCATAACTCTTAATCATAAACTCTCAATCCTAATTTTCCCCTACACACTAATTTATACAATTTTTTAATACATATTTTTCATAAAAAGTCAAAAAATTAACCAAAACATCCATATTTTTTTCATCAATTTTTTAGTCCAAAAAGACAAAAAGTGCACTTATTTAGGACACCCCAAACAACCTCTTAAGATAAATTGGTGAGGATGCTCTAACAGCATAGGTATTGAGATGAGTTAGTAATCAACAATTCAATGAAAATGGACAATATATTTATCGTTCAAATCTCACAACCTACCCAATACTTGGGCCTCGTTTGGGAATCCTCATATTTAGTCAAAAAGTTACTAAAATTAGTCAAAAAGCCGACAATCCATACAAAAAAATCAAAAATTCTCTTTTCTCTCTACTTTTTGCACATCTTTTCGTAAAAAGTTAAAAATTCATCCCAAACATATTAATTTTTTTAACTCATATTTTAGTCAAATAACCAAAAAGTTACTAAATTAGCCCGTTCCCAAACGAGACCTTATTATTAATGATGTGGATGTGGCCCAATAAGAACCTTTTACTTTAAAACAGAACATATTACAAAATGTTATTGCCACGTTATTCTTGTGGTGTTTTTTATACGAATTTTCTCCAGGAATTTCCATTCTGATATTTGCACATGTTTGACTTGCTTATAACAATCTGGCCACACTTGTGAGGCGGTGGGGGCATATGGAGAATATAAATAATAAAGTTACTCCACAAGCAAGCGGCTTAAGGATATAAATAAAATCATTTTTTAGATGAGTTGATGGTCAACAATTCAACCAAGAGAGGAAGAGATGTACCACTCCATGAATTCAGAGTAGAAGAAAGAGGGATAGGGATGGCCGATCCGGAGCAACCTTCAGTGGAGTGGCTTCCACAAATGAGAGGGTTACCCACAACACTATATGAATAATGATAGAGTAGAATAATCAGACACAGAAATACAAACATACCAACATCATGTACATACAAGAGAGAGAGAGAGAGAGATCTGCAGAGAAAGCCTTACTTGAATGTTCTGGCAGGAAATTTGGGCACGGGTCCATGGAGATTGTTATAAGACAAGTCCCTGAACAATCAAAAAGGTGTTTTGACAAACACCACACACCATTTTTTCACACTTTGAAACAAAACTTATTATTATGATTCAGAAAAGCACAGAGAAACATTTCAGGTAGTTTCAATTTTCAAGACACTGAAACAAACAAAGCCAATACTCACAAGAAAGCAAGCTGAGGGACTTTGGCTAAAGACAAAGGAATAGCTCCAGTCAAGCTATTGTTGTTCAATCTCCTACTCATTACATTACATTACATTACATGACAAAAACAACAGTCAAAAAAGACGACAAAAAGATCAGAGAAGAAATAGAGCAATTAATACAAAAAGAATACCCATGTCAAAAACTGTTTTGGAGAGAGAGAGAGAGAGAGAGAGAGAGTTAGTTACAGATATTGAAGGCCACTCGAGAGACCCAGAGACTCTGGCACGTGACCAGAGAACCCATTATTGGACAGATCCAAGGTTTGAAGGTTGGGAAGAGCACCGAGCTCCGGTGGGATTAGGCCGGAGATATTGTTGTTCTGCAACAATCTGCACAAATACACACAAACCCATGTAAGAAAATGACCAACTACAATTGGGTACAGAGGGAGAGGGGAAAACAAATTGGGGTGTGAGAACTTGGATTTAAAAAATATATTTTACACATTTTTCGTCAAATTTGATTCAAAAAATTGATCTCATGGAATACTCCAATTTTACTCTTTATTTTCATCAAATCTTTTTGAAAATTTTCAAATTTATCTTTAGAACTTATTTTTAACCATGTATAACTGGAATTGGGGAGACAAGAAAACAAACTGGGGTGTGAATATTCTGATTAAAACTCTATATATACACCATATGCCTCATGTGCTCTGATTTCTTACACTTGTCGAAGGTTTGTAAGGTTTGCTATCATTCCAGACAAAGTTCCTGATAAACCTTGACTTGGGGCTCCTCTGCAAAACCCATAAATTGAAATGAAAGGCCACTTTGTCTAACCCATGAAATCAAAACTTCAATATCTTCAAAACCCATATATATATATATGTGTGTGTGTGTGTGTGTGTGTGTGTGTGTGTGTGTGTGTGTTTGTGTTTGTAAGAGTGTTGAAGAGAAACAAAATACTCACAGTCCAGTGACAAGATTGTCAGGGGAACAAGTGATCATAGCCCAACTACATGGGTCTACAGAATCTTCATCCCAATTGTTCAGAACACCATGAGGATCGTTCATAGAATTTCTGATAGTAATCAAAGCTTCAACTACAAAATTCCCAACAAAAATGAAAGATCAAACACCATAAAAATCACTAAAGACAAGAGACAAATTGGGTTTTTCGTTGCCGTACCTTCATGGTTTCGAGGCTCGTATGAGAGACAGAGAGTTGCAAATGACAGAACTAAGAAGAAAAGAAGAGAGAGGTGGAGATTGAGGAAGGACATGGTCATTGAATGCAAGCAATGAGCATGTTTGACAACAGCCATGAATGTGTATGATGAGCTTTTCTTCATCATAAAATCTCACTTATTTAAGGCTCTACTTTTCTGGGTCCTCAACCATTTTTCTTTTTCAGTCACTATCTTTGCTTTCTCAAAAGATAAATAGAGAGAGAGAGAGGAGAGAGGAGAGAGAAAAGGTTGATGATACTAGTTGTCAGAGAGGGGTGAAAGCGCAGAATTTGAGAGTGACAGAAGGGGATACTATGCCCACTATGATTATGATTATCTCCTTCTGTTCTGTATGATATGTACATGTATGTATTGAGATATATTTTGTTTTTTTCTCTCTGAAATCAAAGATTACTAACCACTACACAGAGCAGGTGAAGATGAACAAGAAACAGATTTGAAAGAGATTTTTTTGATGTGATAGAAAGAAAACAAAATAATCTGTGTTTTCATCAAGTATTTTTTAGAGTTTTTTTTTTTTAAAGTTTCTTAAAATGGTATATTGTATGGATGAGATTTAATGTTAAAAAATTAATATGACTTGTCATTAAATCTCAACCATACAACACACCACTCTAAAAAATTTTTAAAAAACAAAACTCTAGAGGATCCAACAGATTTGAAAGAGATTTTTTTGATGTGATAGAAAGAAAACAAAATAATCTGTGTTTTCATCAAGGATTTTTTAGAGTTTTTTTTTTTTTAAAGTTTCTTAAAATGGTGTATTGTATGGATGAGATTTAATGTTAAAAAATTAATATGATTTGTCATTAAATCTCAACCATACAACACACCACTCTAAAAAATTTTTAAAAAACAAAACTCTAGAGGACGCTTCCTCCTGTGTTTTAGCTGCTGTATATTTCTGATTCTTGACGCAACAAGACTAGTCGTCTTTCGCATTTATCTACTTTCTTTATTGTTTTCTTCATTTCCTTTCTTCTGTCGCACTTCTTCATTTGTGCTTTTTTGAATTTTTTTTATGACTAATATATGCAAAAATTACAATCTATTTTTAAAAAAATTTTAAATTTGTATAATATAAAAGTATATGTGTCATTACATTATTGGTTCTTATCAATTTTCTTTCTATTTTTTTAGTTTAAATGATTAATATGGTAATACCTTTTAAATTTTGTCCATTACTAGAGAATCATTGAAATTTTCTTTGATATGGAAATTTCCTATTTCTTATATTAATGATGAAGATTTTAAATATATTTTTTTTCAAATTTTAATTTTTTAATATTCATTTGTTAATTATTTTTCTATTACAAAACAAATATATATATATATATATATATAGAAAAGTTGTCAAAATTAAAATATGGACCAAATTTATTTTTTTGATAATTTTTCTAGCTGCTTTTTTGAGCTCCCTAATCATTTATTTGGTTGATTCATTTTTTTATTTGGACCTTTTTTTCAATCTTTTTTTATTTGGTTGATGCTGAGGGTGTTGATTCCTAATTTATTTTATAAGAATCATAAAAAATTGATTTCATTATATATCAAATAAAGCACACATTTTAGATGAAAGAAAAAAATGAAATGACATTAACTGTTACTGAATGAATTTTATATTTTTTTTTCACTTTGCACGAATCTATACACATGTTACGCCTTTTTATTATCATATTATGTAAATTGAAATTGGGCCTAGTTTAGGAACAAATTAATTTAGTAATTTTTTAATTATTTGATTAAAATATGAGTTAAAAAAAATTAGTATATTTGAGATGATTTTTTAACTTTTTATGAAAAGATATGCAAAAAAATAGAAAGAAAATAGGATCTTTGATTTTTTGGTATGGATTGTTGATTTTTTGACTTTTTTTTAGTAACTTTTTGACTTTTTGACTAAAATGAAAGGTTCTCAAACGACACCAAAGATCCTCTAGATTTTTTTTTCCTAAAGTTTTTTAAAGTGGTGTATTGTGTGGTTAAAATTTAATGCTAAAGAATTGATGTGACTTATCATTAAATCTCAACCATACAATACACTACTCTAAAAAACTTTTAAAAAAAAAAATTTAGAGAATCATTGCTCCCTAACTTTTAAACTATAACAGTAATTGATAGAAATGTAGTTTATGTTGACAATGGACCCATTTGGACTAAAATAATTTTATAATTAATATTTCAAATGACAAATTTGTGTGAAAAAATGAATTGATGAACTTATGTGTGATATAATTATCATATTCAAAATATTTGTTAGTTACATATTCGTATTATATTTTAAATTTATAAGATTTTTATAATATAAGATGACTATAATAAATTAATTAAATTATGCAGTCTGTACGGAAAAGAAATAAATCTTCTCGTATAATCCTGTTGATCAAGTCTGCGCTCCTCCGTACGACGTTGCTTTATCACCTGAAAACACAAACGTGAGCTAGCCGGCGGGTGTGTGCCGGAAACCTCTCCGATGCCTAAGTCAGCAAACTTGACAAATAGACTGTGTTACCTCTCCAAAGGTGATGTTTATGAGCTTTATAGGTTTCGTGTGGCACAATCCTAGTAGGACTTCTACTCCTCCATGCAGAGTCCTCCTAGGATTCATACTCCTGAAAGATAATGCTTATCCTTCAACACCCCCCTCACTGCTTAAACCAAGTGAGATGGTTTTTACCATGGCCGAACTCCAATATGACCGAAGTAATCATGGCTACGCTGAGCCGAAGAGTAGGCCGAACTATCCTTAGTTCGGTTCTTCCTTTCGCTATACCTTATCTCGGTTCTCTCATGTACAAACCATGGTGTGATTAGACTGAGCTACTGAATAGTAAGGTTCTGACCGTTCTCACCGTTCTAACCATAATACGCCATGACCGGGCTAACTCTGAGACTGGACTAACTTCAAAGTGTCTTTAGACCGGACTAACTTCAAGTCTCCTCCGGGCCGAACTAACTTCGGGGCTCTTGGACCAGACTAACTTCAAGTCTCCTCCGGGCCGGACTAGCTTCGGGGCTCTTGGACCGGACTAATTTTAAAGCCTTTTTACTCAGCCCTTTGTATTGCGGCCCATGACGGCCCATTACCCAGCTTGGCCCAATTTTCATATAAATTACCCTCTCAATTGCCCCTTAATTCCATCTACGCAGCATGATAGGGATTACCTATCTATCAGCCGAGCTAAAGTTTTAACCCTTTCCAGCCGAGCTAAAAACCCTTTAGCCTTTCCAGCCGAGCTAAAACTCGTAAGCCTTTCCAGCCGAGCTAATTTCACACCGGGCTCTGCTTGTCCGGTCAAAACGTCTCTTCAATCACAGCAACTGAATCGCTTCTTATCCCAAGGACACGTGGCATGCTCTCATTGGCTAAAGGCAACTGTCCCGCCGTCTTCGTACCTCGTGTTTTTTGAACAGTTCCCGCCTTTGTCCCTTCTCTTTTCACAAAACAAACTCTGTCACTCTCTTTTGAATCACTCACTCCACTATTCATTTCCTTCTCTCTCTCTTCGAGCCTCCATTGTTCTTCCAACTTTGCAATTGTGAAGCTCGTGTCCGTGGCTGCTTTCTACTTCCCTTTCCTTCCTCTTATCTTGGTAAGTAACACAAATCTGTTCTCTTTTTGTTTGTTTCCGTCTTTGTTCTGATTCATAGCATATTGTTTGCGTTTTTGCAAAACACATTTTCCTGCTTTACCTTGCGTTTTCTAGGAAAAACTTCATAAGATCCTCATGAACTTCATGAAGTAATCTATAAAACAGTGTTTGATCCACAATTACCATATAACCGAACTAAAAAGTAGTTTGTAGTCAATGTCCTTCTATCAGACTTTAACCGAACTAGCACTCCATGTTGGTACCAGTAGTTTCAGTAAGTCAAAACCACCTCTTGATAGACCTTAGCTGAGGTAAACGAACCGAACTAAGTCCGAACGTAGCATACTGAAACCTTATCTTTCGGCCGAGCTAGGTCTTTGGGGCTAAGCTAGCTTTCTAAGTTTTTAGACTGAACTCAGAAAGCTGCCTCTAGAGGCTTAACCGATCTGACCGAGCCTTCTCTTTAACTGAGATAACGAATCGCTTTGCCAAGATCGAGCTATCGAACCGCCTGCTTAATCCATGCTACTAAGCATCTTGTTGAAACCGAGATAGAACCTATAGCATCCCACACACCCGAAGTAGGACTCCTATTCTTGCTTTTATTTTGTAGTACGGTCCAATGACATGTGCTTAACCCCTTTGTTTTCCACTTTGCAGACTTAGGTTACCCAGACACTCCACTGCGCGCCCAGCCGAGCTACTGAGCACAACTTTGCGACCGAACTAATTTATCCATAACTTTAAAAAATAAATGGGGAAGTATAGGTTTTTGGTAGAAACCCCTGGTGGCCTGGCCGAATTCCGAAGGGATTACAACATCCCTGACGACGTCCAGCTTATTTTGGCCGAACAAGATACCCTTCCATGGGGAAAACACGGCTATGTACCTTTCACCCTCCTATCAATAATAGAAACCGGACTAAAATTCCCCGTTCAACCATTGATTTGTGAATTTTTAAGACAAACCAGAATATGCCCAACTCAGCTTTCCACCAATTCTTACCGTATAATAATGGGTATAGCCGAACTAAACCGCCGAGCCGGTCTTAACCTCGGTCTAGCCGAAATATTCCACCAATATTCCATTGGCTCCAAAGATGACGGCTGGGTCTACTACCTTAGGATACGTCGTCGCAGAGAAAAAATAATAAAATAATAAAAGATACGCCGGATAAGGACTTGAACGATGATGACTTTTTCTGGGTGTCTGGCAATTTTAAAGACCAGCAAGCCCGGATCCCTGGCCGAAGTATAAACTGAAATAAAGGAGAACCTGGTATAATTACTTCGGTTTTTGGTATGCTTTACTTTATTTCGGTTACCTGCTCCTGAACCGGACTAACAGTTTGTCTTCTTTATGCAGATTCAGCTCATCTTCAATCACTTTACAGCTACTCCAATCTAGGCATTCTCTGCGCCGCACTACGGCATCCAGAACGGAGTTGGGCCAAGCTGTTAAATTTTGAACCGACATACAGATACAGCGGCCGCTGAAAAGCGAGAGTGACCGACTTTCTGCTAGAGGAGGCCCCCGAACCGGACCCAACCTTACCCCAAATTATCTTAGTCCCTCTCACAGCCGAACAAGAAATGGCCAAGAGAAATAGAGTCAGGGCCCTCTTAACCGAAACCAACAGACCCGAAGTACCACCGCCGAGCCAAACCCAAGAGACCGTAGTGGCGCTGCCAACGCAACAACCTTCTTCATCTCGGTCAAAGAAGCGTGCCCGGACTAACCAAACCGAGCCACATTTAGTAGATAAGGATGAAACCATCCTTCCGCCGAGCCCCCCA